TTCTGGGACAAAGGCCAGGACGTAGTCCAAGTGCTGACCCTGCAGGCGCAGCTCCACGGCCTTGATCTGCTGCTCCAGGGCCCGTCCGTAAGCCTTGCTTACGCTGAAGATGTGCTGATAGTCATTTTGGCTCTGGTTCGAGGCCTCCTCCTGTTGGGACTCGTTGGCGCTGCTAAAGTCCTCGATGGATAGAGTGCCGTCGGCCCTTAGTTGAAGCTGTTCTTGGAGCTGGCGGACCAGATCTCGGAACTTCATGATGGTCACGTCGCGATCGTAGAGGCTCTCCATTGCTGCGTGCTTTTGTTGGTCCAGGATCTTCACCTGACCGGCCATCTTTTCGATCTCCTCGCGCAGATCCGTCTCCAGTTCCTGGTTGCTCTCGATGAGCTGTTCCTGGATCTGTTCGAGGGCCTCCAGCTCGTTGACTTCGTCCTCCAGCAGCTTGACGCGGTCTTCCAGCTCTAATTTGAGGCTGGCCAATTGTGTGACCATGGACTCGGCTCCCAGCGAGGCGTCCACCTGCTCTTTCAGGTCCATTAGCTGTACCTCCATGTGGTCCACTCGTCGACTCAGCAGTTCCTTGATGCTCTTCAGCTCATTTATTTCCGAGTGCTTCGTCTCCAGTTCCTTGTGGGACCGCTGGGCCTGCTGCTTCTCCTGGGCCAGGGTATCCCTCAGCCGGACCACAGTCTCGCGCAGCCGCTGATTGTACTGCTCCAGACGCAGGAACTCTCCGGCGGACTGGGGAGTGCCACCGACTGCAGCTTGCTTCTCAGTCTTCTCGATGCGCTGGCCCTGCTGCTCCTCCTGCTCCGCCTTAAGGATCTCCACGTCCAGACTGAGTTCGTCGTTGCGCTCTTGCGCTATCTCCAGTTCCATTTGCAGTGTTTCCATGCGCTCCTCGGCCATCTCTTTGTCCAGCGTCAGCAGTTCTATGCTCTCGGCCACCTCGTCCAGTTCCCGCTTGTACTTAGAGACCGTGTCCTGAGCCTCGCGCAGTTCATGTCGCGATCGCTGCAGCTCCCTTTGTAGCAGCACATGCTGCGTCATAATCTGAGCTTTGAACTCCAACAGCTGGTCGTTCTGTATGCGAATCCGCTCCAGCTCCAGCAGCCTCAACTTGTCCTCGCTCTTTTGTCCCCTCAACAGCTGCAGCTCCTCACGCAGCTGTCGCAACTCCTGATTGTCCGCAGGTGGCGCCGGCGGCGTGGCCATTGTGCTGGGAGTCCGAAGGGCCGGACCTGGGATGAACTGTGGTCTCAGTATCTCCAGGAACCCGGGCTCCACAAAGGCAGATGGAGCCCCTCGCTTCACAGAGTTCGTGGGACAGATGCTGGTCTTACTGCGCTTTGGCGCCAGAGCCAGGGGCACCGGCATGGCGAGGGTCAGCTGCGCCGTGGAGCTCTGCGCCTGAGCTGTCGTCGGCTTGGGCTGACTAATCCTTGTGGGTCTCAACTGGGTGTACGAGGTGGAACGCCGCTGGTTGCATGTCATTGCCGGAGGCGTCAATTGAACGGCTGTGCTATCGCCCTTCTGGAACGGCAACTGACCAAGCGTGCTAGTGTGGAGAGGATTGGACACTGGCTTTACTTCCTGGGTAGGTTTTAGTTCCCCTTCTTCAGGCTTTACTTCCTCCTCGGCTTGTAATTGCCGACTAACGGCTGTCTCCAGCTCTGTGGACTTCTCGGGAAGCATCTGTGTTTGCTCTGAAGTTGCTAGCTTTTTGTTCTCCTCGGGCTCCATCGGATTCTAGAGATATATTAATTCTATGAATATGTTGGATTCACTCATATATTCCCATACCTTGGGAAGCTGCAATGGTTGCTGTTGTGCCGCCAAGAACTTGCCAGATGTCTTGGCCAGGGTCTGATCCTTTTGGGTTTGTCCTGGCGCCACCTTTGGCCTGTGGTGGGGCGAGGCTGAAGAGTTTTTTTGGGGGGTGGAGACCGCCTTAACTTTGCCAGATGTTGTGGCAAGCTGCTCTCGCTGGTTGTCCTGCGTAAAAATAGTACTTGAGATGCGTTTATTGTATTTTCTTTGCTTTGATTACTCACCTGCTCCTCCAGAGACCTGCCCCCACTCCTGCGCAACAGCTTGGCTCTCACCCCTTCGTTGCGTTGCATTTCATCGGTTTTCTGATTATCTGGTTCTTTCGGTTGCTCCCCAATGTTCAGCAGCAGCTGCTGGCCACGCACAAACAGACCGCAATTGCGGGGGCACTTGAAGTAGGTACTGCCTTGAAGGGTGCCATTGTTCTTTCCCAGCGGCTCGTCCAAAATCACACCGTACCACAGACCGGCGGCGAAATTCGTTCGTCCCACATAGGCCACACGGCCCTGGAGATTTTTACCCGTTACCTCAACACGCTGGCCAAGTTTTGGTTGCTTGGGGCTCATCGTACGCGGGGGCTTACGTCATTTTGTTAACTTTTAACGCCCGTACAGCGAAATGCCGGACAGCAGTTGGATGAGCGTCCAATGGCGTGCCTAATCCCAGTTAGCAGCTTGCAAACTGCACTGCGAAAACCGATGCGATGGCGAGGGCGAGTCAGCGTCAGAGTCATCATGTGTTTGTGGGCCCCACCCCAGTCGCAGAGTTTTCCACGGCGCAGACTCGAGCAGTCGCTGGGTGGTAGCTTTGGTGGTCCTCGTGTTGTGTGTCAGCACGTGGGTCGATGTGAACGTAACTGGTAACGGATAATTTTGCAAAGGTTTCAATCGCTACTCATTTTTGTAAGCCCGTCGGCTAATCCGGACGGCGGCCGCCGCACATACTACACGTAGGCTCTGGTCGCCGTGCCACTTTATGATGTATCATCAGCACCGAGACCACTATGTCTCTATGACAAGAAACGCAAAGTTTGTCTCTCTCATTCTTTGCGTGAATCGAAACGGTGTAATTCGAAAAACTAGGGTACCGATGCTCACACTCGCACACAAATTTGGACATCTGTCTTTTGCGTGGAACGCTCTGGTCAACGTGATCGGTGCCAGGAGACTTACACTCCCAAAAGTGGAATTTATTCTCTTCTTCGCGTTCATGAGCCCTAATTGGAACCCTCTGGTCAACGTTATCGGTGCCAAGAGACTTACACTTCCGCAATTTGGATTTCTTCCCTTCTTCGCGTTCATGAGCCCTAATTGAAAACCTCTGGTCAACGTTATCGGTGCCAAGAGACTTACACTCCCGCAATTTGGATTTCTTCTTTTCTTCGCGTTCATGAGCCATATTTAAATAGTGCTGATCAATTTGATCAGTGTTCCCCAAGTTGAAAGTCATCTTCTGGGACAACGTCTCATTGGGATTATTGACTGGTTCGGATTTCTTCTTTTCTACGCGTTCATGAGCCATATTTAAATAGTGCTGACCAACTTGATCAGTGTTCCCCAAGTTGAAAGTCATCTTCTGGGCCAACGTCTCATTGGGATTATTGACTGGTTGCAGGTCCTTAGTCACTCCTCGCTTGCAATACGGACACATTCCGATTATTTCCATAGGCATCATTATGTAGAATAATTGTTGAGATGCTTTCGATTCGTAGTATAAAGTAGAATGCTAGAAACTGTTCCACAAAGGTTGACTTGTGGAGGTTTGTAGGTAAGGTTACTGGGTCTATAATTTCTTCGTGTACTTGTAGCTAAATCTAATATGTAGAAAAGGCTACTTTGTCCTGCACTTGTTACGGGAATTTAAATGTACCAGTATTAACTTTTAACTGATAATTTAATAAGAACTTTTAATTTGTGATCTATTTACAAATTTAAATATTCAATGCCTTCGCTGAGGACATAAACATACTATAATTATTTCTGATTTACACTTTAAGGGAATCCTGAAATTATTGCCTAATGGTTTGGGTTGTGCCTTTTGTTTAATACGTGTTTCCGCTGATGTTTATTTATATATACATATACGATATATACACATATATGTACATATATGTTCCATCTAGAAGACGTTGCGACAAATGGGGCATGTGGACTTGCTGCTGGTGGTGAACCATTTGTACTGTGAGAAAAGGAGACATGTTTTGCTTTAGAACGGAGCGAGAAACGTGATTCGGTTATGCTCACCAAGCATGGGCCGTGGAACTTCTTCTTGCAGGTTTTGCACGTGAGCTTCGGCAGCTGGCAAGTGTCCTGGTGGATGACGGTATAGCACACATAGCACTCCTCCACGCCCTCAAACTTCTTGTCCAGATTGTTCTTCCACATGGTGAGGCCATCATAGATGGTACCATTCTACGGGGCATATCAAATACGATGCCTAAGTGCTATAAACTATATGAACTTTTCTCGCAAAACCAACCTGGTGTGTCAGAAAGATGGTCAGCTGCATGCCCACATTGCGCGAGGAGGCTCGCCCACCAATCTGCTTGCCGCACTCAACCTTCACGGCGCCGAGAGGATAATTGGGAGCCAGAGTAATGACCAATTCCATGCGCGCCTCATCAATAGCATAGACAGCCAGCACTTCGCGGGTAGACGCGTGAACTGTCACCTGCAAACGTTTTAAATTTTTACATTTAGTTAATAGGAGCTAGGGATCATAGACATCTTTGCTGTTTAGCGCATTCAACAAACAACCACAAAATATTTATTCTCAACAAAAGTAAACCAAGATGATTCCTCTAGAGATCTTTCGCAGCATTGTAATCGTTCTACTGTTGATCAGCATCGCTGTGACATTTTTGCTGCGCATGAATACCGACGAGGAGGTGTAAGACCACCACAACGACTAATCACAGACCAACAAATCCGAACGAATCGTATCAAACCACACCTGCATATTCTCGTGCTTCTCCTTGCGATTGGCGATTGCCTTCAACTCCTCGCTACAGATCAGCGAGCTCACATAGTTGGTGGTGAGGTTGTCCACAAAGTTCTTCTGCCTAGACTGAGAGGTGTTCCACCATTTTCGCACGACGGCCGGAAGTTTGCGCAGCACTTCGGAGTACAGGTGGCACACATAGCGCTCCAGGGGCAGTTGGCGATCTGTTGGGAGTGAGAAACAAAGAAGAAGTCAAGACATGCCAGAGCTGGATTTCGGCAAAGGAAAAGCACACACAAGTCATTCGTTCCGTCAGTTCATAGAAAACCGTAAAACATAGCACACATAATTTCCTTTCAATATTTTTTTTTTATTTTTTTTGTTTTTTTTTGTTCGGAAAAATGTCAAAAAATCCTATCAATTTCAAGGAGCTGCCCGTGCAGCCACCGCGCGGCTTCAAGCTGGAGAGCGAAAAGCAGACCGTCGCGGAGGCGCTAAATTTCATGAAGCTGGCTTGCATGCATCAGCCAGAGGAAGCCCAGAAGCCCAAGGATCCCGAGGGTCCCACAGTGGCCGACGAACTAAATGCTCGCCTGGCCATGGTCCATGTGCGCGAGAGCCGTGCCAAGCGCATCAAGCGTCTGGTCAAGTTTCCCACAATCGAGCAACAAGCATTGTACAAGTTCATCTGCGTCTGTCCCCGATACCATCCCTGTTACGGACCCTGCCAGCACACAGGCCAGATCATCATCGACCGCGATGTGCTGTCGCGCGAGGAGCACATCTGTTTTTTGGCCACACCCAAGAAGGACCCGCTCTCACCGCAGCTACTTAAGCAGCCGATTTACTACACCAAAAAGTACTACATGCCTACGTGCACGGCCCGCATTGAACGCCTGGCCGATCCCCTGCCGGTCCGTGTCAAGGACACGATCAGGATCTATAAGAATGTTCTTGAGCCCCGCCAATTGACCGCCCTGCAGAACCAGATGAAGCCCAAGCCGCCCATCGAGGTGATGACCATGGAAAGGGCCCTGGAGTACTTGGAGGAGGAGATGCGGCAACAGCGAACAGCCAAGCAACTGCATCGCCGACGCTGCAAGAGCCTGAAGAAGCGAATCGTCGTGCGTCAACGCAACCAGATGTCGAAGATCGTATGCGGGTTGTTCGAGGAGATGAAGGAATTTCTACTCAACGATCAGTATATCGTTGATGAAAACTCACCACTCTGTGCTGTGATACTGGACAAGATAAGAGAGTTTACTGGTGAGTTATAGGATATTTAAAGTGGTTAGAAAATTCAAATACCACTATATATATTCGTTCCTTGCAGACCAAGAGTTCTACACAACCAGTAACCTGCGCGAATATCAGAAGATATTGGCCAACAATCTAACCGTTTGGGTCAACAAGTTCATCTCTAACTTGAACATTTACATGGCCCCACAACAGATCCCCGTCGAGCGACAGATGATGGCCGACGCAGATCCGGAACAGTTTGTGCCTGTGTCAGACTACATTTCGCTGTCCGAACAACAGGAAGAGATGACCCACGACACCGGTCATATTGGCTACGACTTTGAGGACTATGTCAACGAGGACTATTTGACTGACGTACTCACAGCAGCCGATACCGCCTCTGGCATTTCACTGACAAGAGCCGATTAATCAGTTCGGTGTAGCTTACCCTTCAGTTGAGACCAAGTCAGCTCCTTGAAGACACCGTTGCTGTGGACCTTGGCGCCATGATTCTTTAGTAAGTCCACTGGCATCGCACGGAAGAGAAAGTGCAGAAAATTCTATAGTGTACAGACCCAAAAATTACGTGTTACTCGCAAAATCAATAGTATCAATAAATATTAAATTGTATCCAACCTCTTCGTGTCGGTTATCGTTCAGCCAATTGGTGTAGACTGCACGCAATGCCACTGGGGACTTGGCACAGACATTGATAATGCAATCCCACAGGAGCAAGTAGCTGAGGGCATCGTGTCTGTCAATGGGCTCTAAATGATCCAGTTCCGTCAACTTGAAGCTGAACTCCTCAACATATTTCCTGGTCAGGGCCTCGTAGCGGGTCAGGTAGTCCTCGAAGCGATTGAGGAAGTGCCACTTGGAGATCGTCGAAGAGGCATCCAGGCTCTCGCTTTCCCGCTCATTCAATTCAATGTCATCAACCACAAAGTGCTGGGTTAGCTGCTTAATTCCATTGACGGCACTGATGCGCACCGAGTATTGTGAATTGTGGAGCTGCTTGAAGAGGAAATTGCACAGATGGTCCAGGGTGATTTTACTATTGGCCTTGCAAAACTGAAAGGAGAAAAAGGGGACTGTAGAAGTACATTATAAACGAGCGGGAACGTTTTATACCCAGTACTCATTCAGTATATACATGTTCTAATTACAGCACTTCGTCCACACTAGTTTCACAAAATGAATTATTTTAGAATGATCTGGTTCAATTCTTCCCGCTTTTTATTCCGCTATATCTGTCCCTCTCTGTTTCATTTCTCACACCAACACCAGACGTTGTATCTCGCTCCCCACCGCCAAGAGGCAAACACTCCACGAGGAAGAGTGTGTGAGAAATAGAGAGAATGATTTGATCTTCTGCCATTAGTATAATAATGATCCGATCCGGACCAGATTCTGCAATCTCATGGATATGGTCATTAAATCTGGGTTTGGTGTGATAAAACAGGAGTCTGCACACAAAATTTGGTTGCTTTAGCTCTTGTAGTCTCTGAGACAGACTATTGATGCTGATCAAGACCATATATGTATACTTTATGCGGTTGGAAACGCTTCTTTCTGGGTGTTACACACATCCGCATTCACCACAAATCTAATATATCCATAAACTCTTCGAGTACCGGGTACATAAAAAACATTATTTTCTTTATACCGCATAAACGAAACCGTAATCCAGAAGCTCCAGAGTGGGTGTTAAACGTTCCAGCAACGCCTTGTAGCACGTCTGAATACCGCTCTCCACATTCGTCTCATGCGTTAGATGATAGTACGACTTGAAGAGCACCACATTTACTTCCTTAGCGAACACCGAATCCCATTCGTCCACCATATTCTTGAGAACTTCCGTGGAGCTCTTTTGCTTCTCAGTGCGTATAAAGCTAATCAGGGCGGCAAACAATTGATAAACGGCCACAATGAATAAGGAAGTCTGCAAAACAGAGATACAAATTTGCCAAAATGAATCTAAATTCAACAAAAAAGATACCAGTAAACGCACCTTTGGATCATTGTAATGTGCCATGGATTTTGAGACAGTCAACACCCAAGAGCTGAGGCCAATGCGTATGGCATCCCAGTTCTTGATGCTCAGCTCGTAGGGAAAACGATTCAGTACCTGTGTGAGGAGTTTTATAAACTCCACAGTGTTCAGAACAGATTCGTAGGGCTGCTTGAGTAATTCCCTGGAAGATAGAAGGATTATGTGCATTAGAAGATTAAAACTAAGCAAAGTTTAAATACCCACTTACACATTGTAATGGAGCAGATCCTTTTGGTTGGCCTGCTTCTCTCCAACGCTGGTCATGAACTGAACTGCTGACGCAATAATATTCCGATCCGTTTGCTCATTCACCTCACCCTCGAAATTGTTCAAAAGCAGGCAGTGAAAGACGGCTGCCTTCACCCATAAGTTCTCTGGTTCCGTCCGCATTATAGCCGAGCTCAGACCAATGGCCTTCTGCGAGAGCTTGGGCAAGAGATACTGCAATAAAGTGTTTTTTTTTATGGACTTCCCCTTGGTATAATTCAATTTTCTCACCTGAAGTGACATCACGTATGCTTTAAGGGCTCCCTGGGTTACCAGCAGCTCAGCCAGATCCTCGTGCAGCAGAATGGTGGCACTTTCCTCGAAGGCCGCGTACTGCGGACAGAAAGTCAGATAGCCCAAGAGACGACAATCAATCACACTCGATTGCTGCGCTGCTGCCAGCTCCAGCCGCTGCTTGACTATGCCAACCAATTCGCTGCTGTTCCCCATAAAGCTGTGGACCTTCTCTGACAGAAACAGCACCAGCTCCTCGGCCGAGGACTCCAGTTGTGAAACCTCCATCCAACTCTCGGCAGCTCCTGCCACTCGTATGCACTGCAGGAGCTCTGATATCAAGCACTCGCTCCATTTCTTAAGAACATCGGCATTGGGATCACAGTAGTCCTCGGTGAGTTCGTCGTCGGCCTCGTCTGTAACTTGAGGTGGAGGGAATTGATACACGAGCTTGTACAGTGTGGAAAAGTTTATCGTGGTTCGCTGCAGTAGGGGAACAATTTCCTCCTTCTCCATGGAGGAACTTTCGAAGGCAACGCCTGCACTGACGGATCCTTCCAGGGCCTCCAGAAACACACAATGGTTCTCGAATTTTATAACCCTTTCCGCGGTTTTCAAGGGAGAAGTGAGTAGAGCCAGAATGGTTTCATCCACGTGGGCCAAACGCTTCTCTTCATCCTCTATATTCTCGGTAGAGCAGATCACAAACTTGGCCATTGCCTCGGCCATGCCGTCCAGGTTGTCGGCCTTCAGTTCGCAGGCGTTGGCCAGATCTTCAACGATTTTTGCACAACTTTTCAGCATGCCGTCGTCGATCTGAATATCCTTGCTGGACAGAGCATCCTGCCAGCAAGTGGTAATCTCCCACAGCGTGTCCTCCGAAAGATAATCTTCGGGACGATGCTCCAAGCTGAACTTGTACAGCTTCAGGAAGATCTGCTGACGCACATCTAGCGAGGAGTTGTCATTGCCACAAATCACTGGCATAATCTGAGCAATAAAGCTGCCGCAGACTTCCACCATATCATTGGTCAACGGCTGCTCCAGTGGCCCGCACATGGCCAGCAGTATTTTATCCACAGTCGCAGCATTAATGAGAATATCGCCCGAGTCCGTTTGGAAGAAGCATTTGTGTAGCAGATTAAGCTTCTCCCGATTGTTGTCCACGACAACTTCTTCTGCGATGCGTGCAATGACAGCACACGTTTCCGGACTGCTGAGCATTTGCCGCACAGCAGGTTCCGTGCACAGCGGATATGAGAGCAGACGATGGAGTAGCAGGTTCTGCACGCGATGTTGTGGAAGCTAGAAGTACAGATGGGAGTACATTTAATTGTTAATTAACTTGTCAATTTGCATCGTTGTTGCTTCCCACCTTCAAGAGCGTCTTTTCAATGTACTCAAAGCGCTGTTCCGCCGACAGCAGTGGCAGAATCTCGAACACGATCTCCACCACAGACTCGCTGGCCTCGTCGTTCAAGTGTCCCAGCAGGGCCACAAATTTATCCAAAGTCTCGCTTAGTTCTGTCAAGTCTGTGAGGCTCTTGTAGAACTGGGCATCCGAGAACATTTTGGTGAGGGTGCGAACTTGTTCGACGTAACGCGAGGAGGAGTCACCGACGGCACTGGCCTTGTCCAGGCAAATCCTCACTAGCTTCACAACCAATTGCTTGAGCTCGTTCTGTATGAACGCCGCCGACTCTTGGGCTCTTTTAACTGGCGTGGATGGCAACTCCTTTGGAATCGTTTCACCATCCTCTACCGCAAACTTGACGCTCGGCGACTCCAGGCTGGGATTGGCCATATGTAGGTCCTGTACCAGAAGCAAGACATGGGAAAGCAGCTGCTCCTCCACCTGCTCGGCAGCCAAGTCTTGGGTGACCAGCTCAAAGATGCGTGTCCAGAACTGGTTCAGCAATTTGGCATACAAAGCACCATGGTCCAGGCCGTTGTTGATCTGGCGATCCCAGAAGGCAACCAGGGCAGAGCTATGCTGGAAAAAGTTCTTTACATGTGCACTCTCGCTCTTCAGCAGCCATCCAATGGGCTCCAGCAGATTTCTTTGAAGCAGCCCACACACGAATTCGTCCACCTTCGCATCCCGCTCTTTGCTGTTGTTGATCTGCTGAAGCAGGAAGCGCAGGCACTCGAAGTACGAATTATGGATAACAGTGCAATCAGATTTGGACAGCGGTGGATCAAACTTCTCTGTGATGGCCAGCTTCATGTCGTCGAAGAAGCGCTGATAAAACTCGTAGATATCCACATCCTGGAGACTGCCTGGTGTAATCTTGGACAGAAAGGGTAGCAGATTCGGGCAGATGGCCTGGGCATTGCGATTGAAGGCATTGCGCAGCAGAGACGACAGCTTGGGCAGCAGAGCCTTGCGAATGTTCAGCGGCACATACCTGAAGAGCAGTCGAAACGGATTAGACTCTGTTGGAATCGATGGAAAGGTACTATCTTACCAATCTTCAAAGTTGCTTTGCAGCAGCAAGACGCATCCCCAGATGTGGGGAGCCACAACTGGATCGGCTTCGTCTATAAACTGAAAGCTCAGTGTAATCACTTGCGTCTTTTGAGGAGTAATCACGTCCAAAAGGGCCACCGACTGCAGCACATGATAGATGCATTCAAACCAGGCCGCTCTAGAGGAGTTTGAATGGTTTTTAATGACTTACAATTAACATAAAAATGATTTACATACTTGATAGGGGGAACCTTGTGCTTGGCATAGCTCCAGAACTTCTGATGAGCCACCAGAGAGGCGAAACCCTCCTTTACTTGGCTGAGATCCTCTGTCAGTGCAGTTTGCTCCATAAAGAAGGAGAGAAGTTTTAGGCTGCAGATCATAACGCGCTGGTACTTTTGTTCGGCCTCCTCGGGGGTAAGGTTCTTCCCCAGCGATAGAGTGGCTGGCGTGTGGAAGGTTAGGTTGCGTGTGGCATACT